AGAGAGAGAGAGAGAGAGAGAGAGAGAGAGAGAGAGAGAGAGAGAGAGAGAGAGAGAGAGAGAAGCTAGAATTCCATTCGGCTAGAACTAATAATTTGAATATTAAACATTTAACCGTCGAGTTTAACATCATAACATTCCGACCGACTACACAACAATGCAACAACATAAATGAGCTGCAGAATACTATCCGGCGTATAATCCGCAATTTCTAACGCTTCATTTAAATGAGGAATATACATTGAGCCCGGCGATCATCCCCCGAATGCCCGCTTGCCCGCCCCCGTTTGCTCGCGCCTCCGTCCTCAAGATAAGAGGGGAAAAAAAAAAATATGCGTCAGGCACTCGCAGTGGTCGTTTAAGCGTACGAGATACACGAGATCGCCTCGCGATCGCGCGCTGATGAAGCGCGCCGGGGACGATAGAAATTGCAAGCGCGGCGCCTGCTGCAATGCGCGTCGTCGACCCAGATAGACTCTCGCGATTACCGCGACGTGAGACAATCGATAATGGAAACTCTGCGATGTTTTTAATTACATTTATGTGTGACCTAAATATACCCGCATTGATTTAATCATTAAATTTACATCGTTCAGCAACGTCAATTTTCAATTACGGTTGATGCAGCGGCGGCAGATTTATCAAAGGTTACGTGCAGATTCTCACACGTTACATTTTACATGACGCGCGTATCGCTTCGCGCAAATTTCGATCATTCTTCTCTCTCGTATTTTCATCTCGTCGGTCCGTGTGATGTATAATATGTGAGTGTCGTACGCGGCGCTCATTTCCGGAACTACTGCGAATCGAGAAAAGCTGTTGCCGAATTTCAGCATGCTTCTGCGTGCACGGGTAGTTAACCTCTCACATAGACTTCCGGGATTATCACGACGTGAGATAATCGATGTGATGGAAACTCCGCATTGTTTTTAACTACATTTACGAGGCAAATATACTGTATTGATTTAATCATTAAATTTACATTGTGCAGTAATGCAAATTTTTGGTCACATTAATGCAGCAACGGAGACTTATTAAAAGTTGCACTGAGATTTTCACGTTACATTTTAACATGACATTATTTTCAGCGAATTTTGATAATTTCTCCCGTGTGTGGTCTTTTCCGTGTTCCTAGATAAACATTTGATAACTTTATATATTATCGATCTGTGAAGATCGATCGCATCTCTTACACGTAAATAGAAGCACGAAAAGAATAATGAGTATCTTCTCATAAAATTTAACATGAAAATATTACATTTTTCCGTGTGCCTTCGTATGAGTTTTCAGTAAATCCGTCGTTGCATCGATACGGAGGAAGATTTGCATTGACCTACGACGCAAATGTGATGACTGATCCAGTGCAGTGTATCTGCTTGGCAAACGCAATTAACAAAAATTGTACAGCTTCCATAATCGATTGTCTCGCGTCGAGACAATCCCGTAGGTCTACCTGAACTCCTTCCATCTCGTCTCATTCAATGCGACAAGCACGAATGCCACTGACATGAGTGAGAGTCGCCGCGAAATTTTTGGAGAACTGTCAGAGTTGGTTACGCACGACGCGATTATTATACTCCGTGGCGTGCGACAACTCGCGATCGCCATCGCGTGTCGGCGCGGAGAGAGTCGCCGGGAATTCTTTCCCGATGCCGCGCGCGCAAAATGTGTAATTCGCCCCGTGATGCGCGCTCTCACTCCCGCCGCCGGCCGACAGAAGTCACGTATCTGCGTTTAGCCAGCATCCTCATCGCGGTCGACGCGGCATGGTCGGTCGGTCGGTTGAGAGGAAGAGACAACCAGCCAGCCAGCTAGACAGAGAGAAAGAGAGAGAAAGAGAGAAAGAGTGAGAGAGAGGAGAGCGGGGCGCGGAGGAGAGCGCGCCGTCGGGGTCCCTGCACTCTCGCGGCCTTCGTTGTACGCGGCGCATACGTACGCACTTACCCCGTAGATTTTCACGAGGCCGTGCGCGCAGTGGAGCCATCCTCCGCTGGAGCGACGACGAGCCACGACGACGAGCACGACGAGCCATCGGCGGTGGCGGCGGCGGCGGCGGCGGTGGCGGCGGCGGTGGCGGCGGCGGTGGCGGAAGCGACGTACGGCGCGTGGCGTGCGCATGCGCCCGCCACCGCTACCGCCGCCGCCGCCGCCGCCAACTTCATAGCATCCCCTCCGAGTGGGGCATCCGCCACGCGACCGTAGCCCCCACCAAGAGCGTGAGCGTGTGTCACGCTCCGGGTAGCTCGGTGCGTGCCCATTATTAGGAGGGGGTAAGGGGCGCGTGTACCTAGCGTCGCGTGGGGGTTGCCAGGTTGCAGCGTGGTGGGGGTGAAAGTACGCTCGTCGGAGGGACCGCCAGTAGTTTCGTGCTGCCTGCCGTGCGGGTCGGATGACGACGAACGCGACGCGATAGTCTCGGACCCGGAGCAACCCTTACCCAGTCTCTCTCTCTCTCTCTTCCCCTCTCTCTGTCTGTCTGTCTGTCTGTCTATCCTTGCTGAACGAGCGTTGTACATCAGCAGCGTCGTGTCGCGCGGCCGTTCGCTCGCTCTCACCGCCGAGCCTCGAGGGGATTCAAGTGCACGAGGAGTTCGATCGAGCTACGTCGTCGTCGTCGTGCGTCTCCGTCTCTCTCCCTCTCTCTCTCTCTCTCTCTTTCTCTCTATACCTCTATTTCTTCCCCCTTCTCTCTCTCTCTCTCTCTCTCCCCCGCGCTCTGTCCACGTCCGGTCGCACTCTCGTGGGTCCTCGTTTCGAGCAACCCCCGTCGACCAAGCGACCGACCGACGGAGACGACTGACTACCGATCAGCTAGCCGACCGCGATCGAGCGACCGTCGTTGGTGGACGCGCGAGTACATGTCGTGATGCCGCGGGGTGAACGCCGCGGGTCGCCGAGAGGACTCGCGGGTGCCAAGGGTGCTTCAGTCTCGTCCTGACGATACCAGCCTACGCGCGTCGTCCTCGATGGACGCCAGTGGTGGTGTCTAGAATGATCATGTTCGTGTGAGTGAGTCCGCGGGATCATCGGGTCCAGCCGCGGATGGATCGTGGATACGACTTTAGAGATTGTGCTCGCAGCTCTCTGTCGGTCCTGCTGCATCAGGCAGGTGTATCCGCGAGGATCCGCTGAGTAGTCTCGGCGAGGCGGAGAGGATAAACGCGATACAGCGACGTTGCACACGCGACCCCCCGTGACTCGCCGCGCGCGCGTCTCATCTCCTGCGAGAGCGCAAGTGTGTGCAGCCCGTGTAACACGTGTGTGACAGTTACCCGTGGGATACGCGTCCGTGGATTCTACGTTCCTCCGGCCACGACACAGCGGCGTTTTGTGCGGGATTATATACACGCACACCGTATATACGCAGTGCACGCACACACATATACACGCGCGGATATATACACCGCATACTCTCACTCACTCACTCACTCACTCACTCACTCACTCGCGCACGCACACACGCATACACACACGCCAGCTCGCGCGTCAGTGGTTCTTCGTGCGAGTCCCGACGAATTCGTCGCCGAGGGATATGTCGGTATAGTGTCGGCGCTACCACGGATCTCGGAGCTACGCGCGATGGCCGGATACTCCAGTGCGCTCGATAGGGATTTTACCCTGGCACCGAGGATGCGGCGATCCACGATCGATGCCGCCCGGGCCGCCGACGGATCCTCCGGGGGATGCGCGATAACGAGGTAAGTCGCGTGTCCCGAGGAAGCAGGCGGCCGCGATCTCTCTCGCGGCATTACGCGATCGATTTAATTCACCCCGCGCGCGCTAAATGAAGAAACTTGCAAGTCTCGAGCCGGGGCCGCGTCGAGAAGTGCACGGCGTACCTGCGCGGATCGTATTACCTAGCCAGCACGCTTGTATTTCGGGCAGTAGTCCGGACGGGAATACTTGGGGGACGATAATAATCCACACGCGCGGAATCTCGTGTCAGGTGCCGTTTCACAAACGCAAACCTGTCGGACTTGGGGAAGGACGACAATAGGAGAGAGGAGAGAGAGCGTAAATTTAGATACATAAGGAGCATCCACTTGAAGAACGCCGTATCAATTTTTAGCGACGTCGAGTTATCATCGTCGTAAAGTTGTATACGCCGTTACAGAGCGTATCGTTCGAAATCTACCACGAATACGCGAATATATGGGCCCATTCCGCTTGATAAGAATGGATATTGCTGCCGCTTACGACAAAATATAACGGGAGCCTCTTCTGCTTTTCTTTTCTCTCCCTCTCTCTCTCTCTCTCTCTCTCTCTCTCTCTCTCTCTCTCTCTTTCTCGTAAAATTATTTATTAAAAGCTATCAAGAGGTACAAGTTGGTTTGCATGAAGCTTATAACGCATTTCTTGAACAAGATTTCCTACACAATACAATGATATTCACGACTCTGCCTGTAAATTACTTTTGTGCGACTTGTATTAAAAAATCTGACAACTTTCATACCTCTCAAACTGCTCAAACTGCTCGTGCACAGAGAGTTTCGCTTTGTCTCGTTCAATTAGCGCGTCGATAAAATCTTGTTGAAAAAGTGTCGCCATCCTTTATGTTCTCTCCCTTCCCTTCCTCCCTTCTCTCTCTCTCTCTCTCTCTCTCTCTCTCTCTCTCTCCTTTCTCTCCTTGAGAGGAGTGTTCGAACGAGAAGTGCTCCTTTTAATTCACAAAACGCACACACACGACCCTTATAATGCACCGGTAAGTTAACGCGCGTCATAAATCACGCGAGTTAATGAAAAATTGCGTTGTAGCCGCGCGGCGCGTCGCGAGCGCGCGCGCGTCAATATTTCTCCCGGTCCTAAATTCAATATCTTGTCACTCGATATCTCTCTAGGTTTTAAATTCAATATCTTGTCGCGCGCTTGGCGCAACCCGATGCAAGTGTCGCGGGTGTACTCACTTTTCATCCGGCGCCCGGTGAACTTGCAACATTTAAAACGCGCGTGTCTCTCGCGTGTCGCGTGCGCGCACACACGCGCGCACGCTATCTCCTCGTTCTCTCTCGCATTTGCCACAATGCGGAATAATCTATGGGGATTCTAGTGACAACCTCGCTCGCTCCTCCGCGCCCGTGGCGCGGTTATGTGTACGTATGTACGTACATATGCGCGTGTATGTATGTTCGACGCCTTAAAATATTCACGAGATCAATATTCCGCACTTGTCGCGATATACGATTTTAGCCGAGACGCGCGCGCGAGAGCCAACGAACGAACGAACGAACGAACGAACGAACGAACGAGCGTGCGAGCGAGCGAACGTGCGAGCTCGCGCGCGAAAAAGTCTCCTTGGGAAATTTGGAGGCGGACGGTATCCTCGCAAGAATTCGCACACGCGATTCGTGAAATTCGCCGAAGCATCCGGACAGACGGGTTTGCTTGCGACGCACATTTCCTGGCCGACTTTATACAATACGATGATATATTCACAATTTTGCGTGTAAGTCACTTTTGTCTGTATAACTCGTCCGAGTCGAAATTTTGATCCTACTTTCAGACTCACTATTTCATTTTGATACTACACCAAACTCTTTTGATTCTATTTGAGCTACCCGAGTCAAAATTTTGATCCTACTTTCAGCCTCACTATTTTATTCAACATCTATTTTGATACTCTGAAGTCTATAATACAACCTTTTTTGACGCTAAAGAAAATGAAAAGGGAAATTTCGTCATTATCAGAATTAAAATAGGTGGAAATTGTATCATTACTTAAAATTTGACTACTTTCAGGCCTCTCAATGCTTAAACTGCTCGTGCACAGAGAGAAGCTTTATCTTGTTCAATTGGCGCATTTATAAAATCTTGCTGAAAAAATTCCATTTATGCAAATAATTCTGTAACGTTCTTTCCTTCCTCTTTTTAAGAGGAGTATTTGAGCGAAAAATGTCCTTTTAATTTGCACACGACTCTTCTAACACACTAGTAAGTTAACGTGCGTCATAAATCACGCGAGTTAATGAAAAATTGCTACTCGATTTATAAAGGTTGCGTCACTCATGAGTGACGGCACTCGTGTTTAATACACAAAATGACGAAATAGGCGTACGAAAAAAATTGTCAAAATTTGCCCCAAACGAAATACATCGTGCAAAATGTAATGCGAAATGTAATCTGTCAGTGAGATACTCTTTGAGTAAATCTATTGCTCTGCATCAATATAAGAAGTAGTGCATCAATATAAGAAGTATGCATCAATATAATAGTACATTACTGATGTAAATTTAATGATTAATTCAGAGTATGCGGTATATTTGTATAGATATAGTTAAAAGATTCTAAAGTTTCCATCGTAGATTCATCATGTCGTGATAACTCATAAAAACCTTATTACCTAAATAGACAAAAATAATAGAAAAATGATAGAAAAATGAGAGAAAGGAACTTGACAGTTCTTGCAGTTACATTAATGAAACAAATATTAAATATTAATCATTAAATTTACACCCCATGCACAATAATGTAAATTTTATATATTGATGCATCTACAAATTTATTAAAAGTTATGCTGAGATCTTCCTATGCTACGTTTCGCATGACGTACTGCTTTGAGCAAATTCTGATCATCTGTTTCGTCATTCGTATGAGCGACTCATAAGGAATACAATCTTTACGAGTCGACCAGTATAAGGTTGCTGCGAAATTTGTGTGCACCTGTCTGAGTAAATAACCAACTCAGGTAGACTTTTATCATTATCACGACGTGAGAGGCAGTCAATGATGGACTTTGCAATTCTTTTCCAATTATATTTTTATGCAAGTATATAAAATTATGAAATTATTAATTAGTAAATTATTAATTATTAAATTATAATTAAATTATTATTCACATGATTCAATAATACACATTTCTTTGTCGTGTTGATGCAGCAATAAATTCACTGAGGCTCACACTAAGCTTATCATGTTATACTTTGCACGATATATCGTTTTAGGCAAATGTCGATATTCCCTTTTTCATTTCTATTTCGTTATTCTGTGATAAACATAAATGCCAATATGAACCACTCATAAGGAACGCGACCTTTACAATTCGACTAATCAAGCTGCCGTCAAATTGACATACTTCTGTCTATTCTGCGAGAAAACGAGCGCGAAGGGAGGGAGCGCGCGAGGAGGCTTCGGCTTGAAACGCGGATTTTCCGCAAGGAGAGACCGTTGTCATGGCGTCGCCGACGCCGTCGGTCGGATCGGAATCAGTCCCGCGGCTAGCCGATCGTCCAGATCCCCTCATCGGAGCCGCATCTGCTTCCCGCGAATTATCCCATGTAATCGGATGCTGCGCAGCGCCAGGAGGACGTCGCAATTTCCCGGTGTATTACGTGACACGTATAAACGTTGATGCATACGCGGGAGATATCGTGGCGTGGCGTGGTAGCGATGGCTCGCTCGCGAGTCCTTGGAATGACTACGCGAGCATACTTTCAGAAACAGGTGCGGGCCTAATGGACCCGTCCGCCGGGCGGAGGGTTAAGTGACACGCTGTGAAATTAAATGCCGTTACCTCGTGTCCCTTTCCACCATTTCTCCGTCCCCCCCCTGGCCCCTGTGACCCTTGCCGTCTCCACCTCCTCGAAGAAATTTGCGCGATCGATACAGATAGGGGTGGTATAAATATGGCGCTACCAAGGTCCAAGATGCGCTTTAGATCGCCACATCGGCCGATGATAAATGACCGAGTTAATGGTCGACGGTACTATTAATGAGGGAGAGAGGGAGAGAGAGAGAAAGAGAGAAGATTCGTTGGTGTCAGGGCGAAAGCCACGAGCGGCCGTAAGCGGACGAGAATCAGAGTAAAGGGTGACCGATAGATGCTTAGATTAAGTGTTTCGCCCGTTTATTTTTGCTGAGGGATTTTGTTGGCTCTCGCGATATATGAGGGAGGGGGGGGGATGTTCGACCTTACGGCGGTGTTATCGATCCCGGACGCCTGAAAATTTCATCGGGCTTAATTTATTTACGGAGTCTGATTTTTGCGGAACGACGTTCGGGAATACAGGTCGCTCGGCTGGCCGGCCAGCCAGCCAGCCAGCTAGCCAGTCAGCCGGACAGCACAATAAAAGTGTAACGCAATATTCGATATAATATCCCGCCAGCAAGCGTTGTCGGTCGGGTGGATAGTTTCTAATATGCGCGCCGAAAGCGCTCTCTTTCACTCTCTCTTTTTCTCTCGTGCAACGCGCGAGCGCGGGTTAATGTCTCTATATTCGGGCCCGTGTTTGTTACCGGAAGCAGGAATGTATAGATCGTATCGTGTCGGACGTTTACCGCCTTCGTTGCTCGAACAGTGTAGAAATATTTAGGCAACACACCAGGATCCTGTAAATTCGCGGTGAAATCAATTATCCTTCGCACACCTGGACGGAATGTATTAACGACGGCGCGCGATACGGCCCGTTACGCCGCTCGCTGTTTGCTCGCGAGGCGCGTCCTTACGGCGACGAAAAATTTGCATTCGCGATATGAGGGCGAAGAACGAAGGGAAAGGAGAAAGACGCCGCGTTCCTTCGTTCTCCGAGCGGCTCGGATAGACAGGCGAGCGTAAATTTGGCGATCTTAATCGATCTGCAAGGCTCGCGTTCTTTAAGCACACTGAGAAAATTATTTTTCGGCTTGAAATGTGTTTGAAAGTGTCGAAACGGATTTGAAAGTATTTGGTACACGCGGTTTTCGGCTGGCTCTGCCGCGTTTTTTA